ATATGAATGACAGCCTTGTGAAAGTTGACGTCTGTCTCATTTTTAATCAATACAAAGTAATATCACTCTCTCTTTCTAACTTAGGCTAAGCTCTACGAATCAAAAATCAGAGTCACTATCGTTATAAATAAAAATTACAGTATGATTCACTAATTCGGACATAAATTTGTTATTAACTATAATTTGTTGTAACCCATTGCAACTACAAGATCATATTCGCAATGTTCTCGAGTTCGCCAAATTACACGAAATTAAAAACCAACCTCCGATTGGCCCTTAATCGGTTGAAGCTGTTAGAAAAGAAGAAAACAGAACTGACCATGAAGGCCAGAAGGGAAATAGCGGATTACATACAAGCTGGTAAATACGAAAGGGCCAAGATTAGAGTCGAGCACATTATTAGGTATGCTTACAGTTTGTCAATAAACAGTCTTGTGTCATTGGTTTCTTTCAGGGAAGATTATCTCGTAGAAGCGATGGAGATCGTCGAAATGTATTGCGATTTGCTGTTGGCGAGGTTTGGCTTAATTACACAGATGAAGGAGTTAGATGATGGCATTGCCGAGGCCGTTTCTAGCTTAATTTGGGTTTCGCCACGAATGTTTGCCGATGTACAGGTATAAAAAGGGGCGCCTGCAGATCATTCTGCATCCAGACTTTAAAGTTTGAATTTTCTGTGTCAACCTCTTCCGGTGCACGTTATGTCTCTTCCAAGCCTTTCTTCTTCCGTGAAATTGTTTTGTGAAGGTTGCTTTGGAAAGGTCCATGTAGCTTTTTAGCATTTCCCAAGTTCTTCCCAGGGGTCTGAAACTGATCTGGAGATTTCCAGAAGAGAATGTTGTGAAGTCGCAAAGACTATGGGAAGACATTGAGAAATACTGTTATGTTTCAAGGCTTTCAAAATTACCTAGAAAGCACTGGAAAGTGTTCAGGATTTTTTTTTAAACAAATACTCTGAATGCAGACTTTATAGTCTGAATTTGAGTGTTAGGTATCTCGTAAATTCGTACTTTAAAGTCTGAGCACAAAAAAGTCACCTAGGGTAAGGTCTCCAGTAGTCGGCCACTTAGGCATAGATATTACTTCACAAATATATTAAAAATAGTCAGCTTTACATCATATGAATGTGAATAACTGTTGTGGTATTAGTAGTAATTGTATTTGGTTCCAAAAATACCGATTAAGCACTATATGGCGATATAAAATATTAGTAAACTATATTTCAAAGCGAAGCCAAAAACACCAGTGGTCAGCCATTAAAAACTTTAGTACAGCCATCCCTGCTCCAGTAGTCAGCCCAGTTGCATTTGGAACAATAAAACTATAGGTAGGTAGGTATCTAGGTAGGTAGATATTAATATGCGACTTTAATAATAACAAAAATTAGTAGGTATATAACATTTAAGAATACACTATCCACAAAATATTATTTTAGCCTGTACAAAAGGTACAAACAAATTCTGCATCTTGAATGTCAATATATTTACACCCTTGAAATTTTGTGCATTTCAAGTGATACCACTTGGGGCACTTATCACATCCCACGTTTTTCATGTCATTGTTATCACTGTCTAGAAGTAAGTCGCAAGTAGCACACTGTTCTTTTCGCTTTGTTGAGGTTGGGTTCTCACCGTTGTCCTTTATATGATAGGTTTGTAGGTTGTCATTACTCTCATTGGTTTTTTTAGCTTTTTGCTTTTTGTTCAACGATTTCTGCTGTAATCTTTCTTTAGCTTTCTTAACTCTTTCTTCCTTTCTTTTAGCCTTTTCCTTTTCAGAATTTTCTTTTTCATCTTGTTTCTGCTGTAAATACATTCTAAACTGCTCTGATGAAATTGCGGCTGGGAGTCTATCAGTTTTTCTTCTTTTTTGTTTTGCATCTATTGGACCAGGGAAAAATAAATGATGTTTGATGGATGTGGTTTTTTGTTTTTCAGTAGTGCTACTATTATCGACATTAAAATTATTTTCTGGTTCGATGTTGGATTTATTAATAACAATATTTTGCAACACTACGATCTTATTTTTTTGGTCTTCAGCTTCTGTGTCTGCATTTTTCAGTATATTAGTTTCATTTGTGTTTGGTTTTATTTCCTGTCTATGAACAAGATCTTGATTTCGGTCATTCTTACTTTCATGTGGTTCTGTTTCACTCAATGTAACTATGTCCCTCGTTTCTAGGTCTTGATTTCGTTCTGTTCCTCTTAGTGTAATAATCTTCTTTGCTACTGCGTCTTGGTTTGCTTTACTCCTATTTTCATCGGTTTCTGTTCCACTCAATGTTACATTAGGGGATTCATTCGGTTCTATTTCCAACGTTATTGCGACGGCTTTATTTGGTTCACTACTATTTTCATTTGGGTCTGCTCCATTTTCATTTCCTTCAATTTGACCTGTTCTTTCTTCAAGTTCATTATTAGTAGCATTTGCATGGGAGAATACCTCAGTAACAACAGTTTCAAATTCATTTTCACCAATATATTCATTAAAATCAAATGTTATAACATCTGCCGTTTGACGGTTCAGTTCTATAGGAGAGATAGGTTGAAGAACACCATCCGGTTGTACTTCATAACTCTGACTTTGATTTGCTGGCTCGTATTCCACTTCTATGGCATGAAGTTCCTCAACAATCTGTTCAACATTTGCAATTCCTCTGTTAAAAATAGTCTCTTTCAAACTTATCAAAACTTCGCGAGTTAGCCTTAAATCTTGTGCCGTCATCCCAACATTTGGATTTTTTTGCATATACCCTACATCTTGCATGTGTTCTAATCTATTTTGTACGCACTTTTTAAAATCCACCGCATCGGCGTTAAACGGAAACAATCCGCACTTTCTGAATCCGTTTTTAATTACGTCTAGTAAGTTTTGTTTGGTTAGCACTTGCTTTAGTAGAGGACAAAACGTAGTTTTCGTTAAGACACAGTTAGTGTTTTCTGATTTCCTTTGCCACTCCCTGATAGTGTTTTTCCATTCCTGCTTCAGAGGTTTAAAGACGCTTACGTCAGCCGGTTGCATGATATGGGTTGTATTGGGAGGAAGTGCGTATAAGATAATACGATTATCATGGCAAAATTGACTAATTACTTTGGACAAATGCGACTTATGACCATCAACCAAAAGTAATACAGGCCTACGGATTTCTTTGGAGGTAAGCCATTTGTCCAGGCCATTAGCTATGTATTGTAACGTTATTTATAAAATTCGGGTTCGATTTATATCAATATTTATTAAACAAAACTAAAACACTATAAAATCCGTACAATTTATATCGATTATTTATATCACTCACACTTCGCAATTTATTTCCGTGCTCGATCTCGTTCGATAGTAGACTGCCGCGATGTTCGGTCCGCAACCATTTATACACGCAAGCAATGTAAGTCCAGTACATTCTAGAATATTTCTACACAAAATCACTATCGCGCGTAGAAAATTCCAGAGCGCCAAAGGCGACGTCGTGTCTGGAGCATTTCCGTTACACTGCCCCCTTCTTAATTCTGGACGTCTCGTTCAGAAACTGCGTTAGTATTACTTTTTAATGCCTCGTGTCGGAATCTGCAGTCAGAGCGTGCTCGACAAACACCTTTCTTGAAAAAGTAACAGTCCACAGTTTTGCGGAGGGTCGTCCCCTGTGGGTTGAAGCAGCATACTGTAATTCGAACGCTAGTGTTTCTAAAACTCACTTCGATCATGGTTCGCACTATTTTCCAGTCCAACCCATCTAAACCACATCCAATCTTCGGGTTCGCCAAGCTATTTATGTCATAGTATGCCATGAGTTTCTTTAAGTTTTTTAAAGCAGACCAGAGGTTTTCATAGGTGGGTTTGCCTTCTGACGTTTTCTTTGGAACCAAGTAGAACAAAGAGCGTTGACTATCTTCCAAGCGCAGTACTTTACCCACTCGTGGTCTTTGCTTTATCAACTCGTCTATTCTTCCAAATCTTTTCCGGAATACGGAAGCTATACCTCTACACATGCGAAGGTCTTCGGCGACACAATGGGCGATGGAAACGTTAACCGGAAGCTCAAAAATATTTTGACAAATTTCCTGAGTAACGCCAAATCGAGCTTTCTTCCGCTGGGCGTAATTTGACATAAAATCGTTAAAGTTTGGCTCGATCCCAAAGCTGCGTTCCTCTTCTCGAATACCTCTAACTTCTTCGTTGTTGTTGGATCCGGCATATCGTGCGAGTCGATTAATGTGGACAACTTTCGGTTTCCGGTGGTTCATTCTGATACGATATATCACGTCATTTATTTTCTTGATCACCTCATACGGACCTTCCCATTGTCTTTGTAGCTTGGGAGAAAGACTTCTTCGTCTCTGTGGATTGTGCAGCCATACCAGATCTCCAGCTTCAAAAGTTTCATTGGCCGAGCGGAGGTTGTATTGATTTTTCATGCGATCGCTGGCAATCTGAATATGACTTCTAGCCAAGTCGTGAATATCGTTCATCTTCGCCTTTAGTTGGTCAACATAATTTTCACCTGCGACATATTCTTCATGGGGTTTACGCCCAAACTCGAGATCACATGGAAGGCGTAGTTCACGACCCAACATAAGGCAGGCAGGAGTCTGACCCGTGGTCTCGTTGACGGCTGATCGATATGCCATAAGGAACAGGTGGAGGTACTGGTCCCAATTTTTCTGATGTTCTGCCACGACTTTTGAAAGATATTTACCCATCGTTCGATTCATTCTCTTCACCATTCCATCTGACTGAGGATGCAAAGGTGTTGTTCTGGTTTTATTGGCTCCTACCAATCGACAAACATCTTGGAACAAAGCCGATTCAAAGTTCCTTCCTTGATCTGATGGATTTCTATAGGAACACCAAAACGTGTAAAGAACTCCTTTACCAACACTTCTGCAACTGTTGCTGCCTCTTGGTTTGGAATGGCGTAAGCTTCAGTCCACTTTGTGAAATAATCCATAGCGACTAGGATATATTTATTTCCGTCATCTGTCTCGGGAAACGGTCCTGCGATATCGATAGCAACTCGTTCCATCGGACTACCAACGTTATACTGCCTCATGGGTGCCTTCTTCTTGGAAACTGGTCCGTTTCCAGTAGCACATAACTCGCATTTTTGACACCATCGCCGGACATCTTTTCTTTACGGTTGACCCAATAGAATCGCTCACGTACCCTTTGCAACGTTTTCGTAATACCAAAGTGTCCTCCGGAAGCGCCGTCATGCAATTTTCGCAATACTTCCGACACTTTGCTTCTAGGTACTACTAATTGCAGCGTCGATTCGGTGCCATCTTCACTTTCAAGGGTCCTATACAACAGGTTGTCTTTCAGAGTCAGGCTATTCCATTGGCCCCAATAACTCTTTACTTCAGGACTTGTGGCACTAATGTCTTGCCAGCCTGGTCTTTGTCCGTGGCGCATCCAATTCAGAACAGTTTTTATACTTGGGTCGTTTTCTTGGGCCGTTTTGATTTCGCTTGGCTTCCATTCCTCACTCTCTACAGTTGTTCGTCGCAGATGGCCAATCTTGTCTTCTATTTTAGAACAATGTGTGCAGTTGTCTTTGCACGGTCTTCTTGACAAAGCGTCTGCATTATTGTGAACTTTTCCAGCCGACGTAATGTTTTCAGTGAAGATCGGGGCTTTGTTTCTG